AGGGGGACTAGTGTCTCCATTGCAGGGTGGGCAGCTGAGCCCCGGGACCGTGGGCTTCACTGCGGGGTGGAGAGTCAGTGGTGACGTGACTTCTCCAGAGCCCCAGGGTGGCTGCCTCCGCAGCTGACAGATGGGACAGCACCACCCAGCCTGCTGCCAGAGCCTGACGAGCTCCGGGCGAGGACACAGGCGTCCTCGGCCCCAGCACCAGCTCTGCCCTCGGCACTGACCGGCCTGCTGGCCCCCAGCCGTCGGCTGTGCCCGCCCTCGGGGTGTCCTTGCACTCACCCCGGCACCTCTGCGTGCTGGCACCCAGCTCAGCGCTCTCGCGTCGTACCAGCTCCCCGCAGCGGGCACTGTGCCATGTCCACAGAAAGGAGCTGGAGTAGTTCAGAGAGCAGCCAGGGACTCTGGCCCTGCCCACCCTGGGGCCCCAGCGTGGCCTCCACGGCCGGTGAGCCAGTCTATCCTTGGGGCTTTTCTTGGTGCCGTATCCCCAGCACACAGTAGGTGCTCAGTGGACACTTGCTCTGCCTGCCTGAAGGCGGGCACCCTTGGGGCCCCCACGAGGCCAGGAGCAGGCACTGTCCCCACTTAACAGAGGGACACTGAGGTGTGGAGCTCAGCAGTGCCCTTCAGGCCCAGGCCCATGATGTCCCCGTGGCTTGAGAAAGCCCGTGGCCCTCAAGGTGGGGGCCATTAATGTGTCCCCGAGCTGTTTGCTGAGGCTGTGGGTGGGTGGGCCCGACGGAAGCCTCTGCGCTGGTCCCTGGTCCGGAGCTGGGGCTGCTGCTGGGTTCGGAGGCCAGAGGTGACAGTAGCCGCTTCCACCAAGGGCACGCGAAGGACCAGCCTCCCTGAGCGCTTCCTGCACGCGGAGCGCCGTGCCCGCCTGCTTCCGAGCTCTGAGGGCCTGGGCGCGGGGCACAGTGCCCGCCTGCTTCTGAGCTCTGAGGGCCTGGGCGCGGGGCACAGTGCCCGCCTGCTTCCGAGCTCTGAGGGCCTGGGCGCGGGGCACAGTGCCCGCCTGCTTCTGAGCTCTGAGGGCCTGGGCGCGGGGCGCAGTGCCGGCCTGCTTCCGAGCTCTGAGGGCCTGAGCACAGGGGCTCCGCCAGGCCCCTGGGCGCGGGGCGCAGTGTAGGGGCTGAGCACAGGGGCTCCGCCAGGCCCCTGGGCGCGGGGCGCAGTGTAGGGGCTGAGCACAGGGGCTCCGCCAGGCCCCTGGGCGCGGGGCGCAGTGTAGGGGCTGAGCACAGGGGCTCCGCCAGGCCCCTGGGCGCGGGGCGCAGTGTAGGGGCTGAGCACAGGGGCTCCGCCAGGCCCCTGGGCGCGGGGCGCAGTGTAGGGGCTGAGCACAGGGGCTCCGCCAGGCCCCTGGGCGCGGGGCGCAGTGTAGGAGCTGAGCACAGGGGCTCCGCCAGGCCCCTGGGCGCAGGGCGCAGTGTAGGGGCTGAGCACAGGGGCCAGGCCAGGCCCCTGGGCGCGGGGCGCAGTGTAGGGGCTGAGTACAGGGGCCAGGCCAGGCCCCTGGGCGCGGGGCGCAGTGTAGGGGCTGAGTACAGGGGCCAGGACAGGCCCCTGGGCGCGGGGCGCAGTGTAGGAGCTGAGCACAGGGGCTCCGCCAGGCCCCTGGGCGCGGGGCGCAGTGTAGGGGCTGAGCACAGGGGCTCCGCCAGGCCCCTGGGCGCGGGGCGCAGTGTAGGCGCTGAGCACGGGCCAGGCTAGCTCCAGCTGGCACGCATGCCTCCCGGCTGTTCACACCTGCCGCCTTGCGGTGCCTCAGGGTGCCCGGCAGACCAGCGTCCTGCCTCTTGTCCCCTCCCACTTGCCTTTCCTCAGCGTTCTGCCCCCGGAACAAAACCCCACGAAGAGCCTTCTCTCGTCCTCCCGACAGCTCCCGCCCCTGCGCCTGCCGGTGCCTTCCACGCGGGGCGGCAGCGCCAGCCAGGGCCAGCAGAGACATGGGCTGGCATGCTGTCAAGGAATTAATTGAAAAATAAAATCATTAGATAGGAACTCCAGAAATGCAGAGTGGGGTTGGGGGTGGGGGCAGGACTGGGGGTTGCTGGGGGCTGGCTGAGCTTTTTGTCAAGTTAATTTCTCGGGTGTGGATGTTGGGTGACATTCTTTTGTTGTTTATCTCCGGGCACAGCTGTAATGCTGAAAGAAAACACACAACTTGTTGCGTTTGTTTACTTTACACCTTTCTCCTGTTCTGCATTGTGTGTGTTTGCTGAAAACCCGCTGAGGCTCTGCTGTCGCTGTGGGGTCCCAGCAGCTGCTCCTGCAGCAGGCGCCCCACACGCTGCAGGCCGCGTGGGTGCTGGGCGTGTCCTCTGGGGGCGCCTCGGGCCTACAGGGCGGTGACGGCGTGCCGGGCCGAACCCAGAGGCACTCGCCAGCCCTTAGCCACCTGGGAGATGGGCCGTTTCCATCCCCAGCGTGTAGGCCCAGAGCGCGGAAGTGACCTGCCCACGGTCACTGAGCCGCTCAGCGGCAGAGCTGGGACCTCAGGGTGGCTGGCTGCCAAGGCCGTGGAGTTAGCCAGTCGCCAGCTGCCCCCCACGCTCCTCGCCCCACGGCGTTCAGTGGGTACCCTGTGCCTCCGTTTTCCAACCTGGGGGGTGGTCATGCCTCTTTTGGCCTGATGTGCTGGCCTTCCTGGGACAGTCCCCACCTGTCGGCGGGCGTTGGCCTGAAGGCAGAGACATGTTCCATCAACCCCTCTCGTAGTGACAGGGACAAAGACGGACCTCCCCAGTGCCCGGCTTTCCACGCCTCCAGTCCTCCAGCAGCCCCACGAGGGGCAGTCATTACCGGTGTCCCCATTTTTCAGATTGAGGAAACAGGCACCGAGGGGCGGGGTCCGTGGTGGGGCTGTGGTGTGAGCACCCACGCTCCTGAGCGGTATGGCCGCGTGGTCAGGGAAGGCGGGGGTCAGCAGAGGCTGGCTGCAGAGGAGGGGAGGGGTGGGGGGCCGGCCTTGCCCCCCACACACACTTTAAACGTGAGGGATGGAGTCTCCGTGGTGGAGTCGCCCTGCCTGAGGTCACCCAGTCCGGGAAGTGCCAGCGCCAGTGCGCCTGGTTCTGGAGCCAGACTCGGCGGCCGCGTGCCCTTTCGCAGGGCCCTGTGTGACCGCGGCCATGCCCCTGCCCCCGGCGGGGCCCTCGGGGCACGGCACCTGCCACAGCAGCCAGCAGGTGTGGCCTGCACTTCGGACACCAAGGCTGCCGCACGCTCGCCTGGGGCTCGGGCTGTGCTTGGGTCCGAGCCTCCGTCTTCCCACCGGGGAAGTGGGTGGCGACACCCACTCCCGAAGGGGCTGCTTGAACTCGGGAGATGCTGTTCAGAAGCGCCCGTCCTGTGTGTGTCCTCTTCCGGCTGGTCCCCTCCCTCAGCCTGCTTCCCCAGCCAGACGGCACCTCGGTCGCCTCCCAGTGCTGCGGCCCATTTGTTTTCCGGCTGTCCTGACTAATATTAGAGTTTTAATTTTAAAAATTCACTCACTTTGTAACCATTTATTCTTTGGTTCTTTCGCGAATGGTGACGGAGCACCACCTACTGTGTGCTGGCCCGGAACACAGCGTGGCAGGACGGGCTGGCCCAGTGCCGCTCCCGTGGTCAGCAGCTGGGGGGTCAGGGACAGGCCCACAGTCCCATCCCCGGGCACTCGAGCCCCTCCAGGGCTGGCAGGGACAGGGACCGGGCGCCAGGAGGGAGCAGGAGAGCAAGTGGTGTCTGAGCGGTGGGCTGCCGCCCTGCCCCGTCCCTTTTCATGGTTGGAAGTGAGGGTACGGCTGCCAGGCAGACGAGTGGCAGGCAGCCTCCCACCCCCTCCTCACTTTTGCCAGGGACAGCGCGTCCTGTGCCCCCTTCCCACTCGATTTGCTCATCCCGGCATTTGGCAGATATTCACGAGCCCTCGTCCAGCACCAGGCAGTGTGCCGAGGCAGGGCCGAGTGCTGCTGGGGGCACAGGGGCGTTGCGGGTAGGGGTTTGCTTCAGACTGGCCAGGGCAGTCCCAGGAGGGTGCGTGGCAGCTAGGGCCTACCAGCTCACCTCCTGCCCCCTTTGTCTCCCTGGCCAGCAGGGGGCGTTCGTGAAAAGTGGAAACACTGGGCTTTCGTGTAGCTCGGATTCAAATCCTGGCTTCCTGTCTGTGGCTCAGTTCCCTCGCCTGTAAGGCAGTAATAATACCTGCCTGCAGGATTGTTGGGAAGAGTAGTCGTAGCACATAGTAGGTACTTGGTCAATAGCATTCGGAGCCTGGAGGGCATATATGTTGCTGAGCCCACCATGCCTTTTCATATACGTTCATGCTGTGCACTACATCCCCTTTCTCCGCCTCACAGAAAACTCCTCTGCATTCTTCAAAGCCCAAGTCAAATCGCCCGTCCTCTAAAGCCACCTCTAATTGTTATTCCCTCCCTGCCTCTTCTGGAATCCTTGAGCATCTGTTCACCCAACGTGTATTTACTGAGCGCCCGCTGGATGCTAGCCACCTACTATCTGGTTAAGAGTCTATGACCTCCAGGAAAACAGAACAGCTGCCACTTGTGTCCTCAGCCATTGCCCTGGCTTGACTCAGCCTCTCTGAGGTTTTCAAGGGCCCCCACACCAGGCAGAGATGCGCTGACCTCGGAGCTGTTGGAAGGGGGCCTTCCTCCCTCCCCTTGGAAATGGGATCCTTTCCTCTGAGGGTTTCTGGGTTTCTGGGCCTGAAACAGGCCGCTCCCATGACAGAGCTGTACACTAACCCGCAGTCTCTCTCCCCCCGCCTCATTCTCTCTCATACCTCCCCCTCCGATGCTCCTTCTCCCGGCTCCTGGTCTTTCCGTATTTCTTCTGTCTCTTCTCACCACATCCTATCTCCATCCCTGTTTCCGCCCTGGTCCCCCGCCCTCCATTCTGCTCACCCCCACCCCGCCATCTCTCCCTGCCTGCCTGAACCCTCTCGGCTGTTCTTTCCTCCTCTCCTGCCATCTGGGCTCCCGCAGAGCCCCCGAAGAAGAAGCGGTCTGTGGTGTTGGACGAGATCCTGGAGCAGCTGGAAGACAGTGAAAACGACAGCGAGGAGCAAACCCTTCAGCTGTGAGCTGCACCGAGAGGGTACGTGGCCCAGGGCCCCGAGGACGGGACAGCCGCTCCGGCTGCCACGCTCCCGCCATGTGGGCTGGGGATGGGGTGTGCTGGGGGTGTGCTGGCTCAAGGTCAGAGGGGACGGCGGTCTGCTCTGTGCAGATGCCTGCTCTGCGCCTGCCTGGGCGGGCCAGGCCTGGCCCCCTTAGGAAGCCTTCGTGGTGGCGGAGGGGTCTGGAAGCAGCCAAACCAACCAGGCTCCCTCCAAACCCAGCTGTGTGCTGCTGCTCTGTGTGCTCCCACTCGCCCCTCCTCCCCGCAGCCCGAGATGCCACAGGGTCTCATCCTGCTGGGTCTAGAGGGATCGGCACAGGGGAGCAAGAACCCTGGCGCCCACTGCCCGGCCCAGGGGCTGAAGGCAGCTCCTTGGAGCTGGGAACGCTGGCCCAGATACCTAGGCAGCTCGGGCCCAGCCTCTTTCTCACTAACTGGTTCCCACCCTGTAGAGCCCCAGTGACAAAGGAAGTGCCGTGATAATCCCTGGACACGGCAGGCACAGTGCTGAGCGTGTGAGACAGGCTCCAGAAGCTTCCATTCTCACTCCCCTCCAGGGCTGCTGAGCTGGAGCCCTGCCTGCGTTGCGTCTGTCCACGGGGCTGTGAGCAGCCTGGGACTCGACCTCTGTCCTGCCCCTTCTCAGCACTGGAGACTCAGGCCCTGGTCTAGTCCCCAGGGCCCCTCCAGCCCAGCTGACCTGGGGGCTGGGGAGGCCTCTGAGCCGCTAGGCAGGTGTGAGCTCCGAGCCCAGACCCCAGTCTCATCGGTTGGGCCCAGCTGTGTCCCCACAGCGGATGCCCCTGCTCACAGGCTGGGCGCCCTGTGAAAGGCATCCAGCCCTGGCGAGCAGTGTTCCTAGGCTTATCGCAGGCTCGGGGCGCCTGGGAGCACACACCTCCTCCAGCCGGACACACAGCCTCCCCCACGGGGCTGAGCTGCGCCCAGCACCCAGCAGGGGGCAGGATAGTGGAGAGGAAAGAACCACCGCCCGAGTGACCTGGGTCTGAATCTCAGCCTAGTCGTTCCCGGCTGTGTAGCCTCAGACCACCAAGGTCCCCTCTGACCCTCAGCATCGTTTTCTGTGAAAGGGGGCTGGTGTTATACCTACCTCAGAGACGGTGCCGGGACCAAATGAATGTTCGTCAGCGCTCTTGTTTACCTATTAATTTGGGGCTGGGGGGCAACTCCAGGTGAGAGTCCAGGAACCTTCTGTCTGTGCCTTTTAGGGGGTTTAGTCTTCATCCAGTCTTCAGAGTGGCCTGGGACCCAAGACACGGGACCCAAGACACGCTCTACGGCCCCGGCTGCCCTGCGCGGCCGAGCACCTTCCCAGTTCCCTGGGACGGGGCTGTCCGATCAGTCCTGGCTCATCTGGGAACTGACAGGACTGAGTAAGACACAGCCCCAGACGGCCTGTCCCAGCGTGTGCAGCCGGGCGCCCCAGGGACAGCAGGGGCCGCAGCCTCTGGGCGGGGCGTGTGGTGGGGTCGCGTTAAACATCCCCAGGCCAGGTGCTCGGGTGACCGGCTGCTGGCCGCGTGGGTCTCGTGATGACGGCCAGGTCCTCGGGTGACCGGCTGCTGGCCGCATGGGTCTCGTGATGACGGCCAGGTCCTCGGGTGACCGGCTGCTGGCCGCGTGGGTCTCGTGATGACGGCTGGGTCTGCCCCACCTCTCCCCACCGCTGGGTTAGGGGCATGCCAGTTCTGGGTCAACACGCATCGCTCGTAGTTCCTGTTGTTCTCAGAGGGGAAGGGACAGGTCAGGGTTACCGAGGCGCTTGTTTGGATCCCAGTCTGTGGTGCGGGGTGGGGAGCAGCGGCCCCGGGGGTTCCTGCAGTCCCTGTTGTTGTGATCGTCATCCTCGTTGTGGGCACAGTAAGGTCTAGTTGCGAGGTAGTAGTGAGGTACACCAGGTAGTTACAGGGCTCGGCCCACAGGGGGCGCCTGTCTCCCTCCATGGGGAAGAGGGGCTGTGTGGAAGCATTTTAGGAGAAAGTCATCCATCCGCTGCGTGCAGAGTGACCAGGGGGAGCCCCGGGGACAGTCGCCGTTGTCACCAGGGCAGTGGCGCACCAGAGAGCTTTGGAGAGGGGCTTCCGCTGAGGGTGAAGGGACGATGGGACGGCAGTGGCCCCATCAACCAGACCGGGGAGAGACGCCTCAGAAGGAGAAGCACAGGAAAGGGGGGCCCGGGCCAGGCCTCCCTCCTCCGGCCACGCAGGCTGGCGTCCTCCGGCGGCGTGCACCCGGGGAGGGGCTGGAGGGAGGGCAGGAGGCCACAGTGAGCCAGGCCCGGCTCTGGGAGGGCGCCAGGGCCTGGGTCTTCTCGGGGGGTGAGGCGGGGGCACAGGCCAGAGGCAGAGGCTGGCAGAGCCGCCACTCGTCCTCCCCTCATTTCTCCGTCCGTCCATCAGACACTTAGGAGGTGCCCCTGTGGGCACGGCGCTGTGTGGGTACCGGGGACAGCCGGTGAGGACCGCTGGGTCCACTTGGGTCTGCCCCCCACACTTGGAGACCCGCGTGAGGCACAGGAGGTTCCAGCGGCCTCGCTTTGCCGCCGCCTCGGGCCTGTGCCCTGTGCCCTGTGCCCTGTGGCCAGGCCAGCCCTCGCGCCCTGCCTGTGCTCCGCGGCCCCAGGAAGGGCTTAGGGCGAGCCGAGCGTGCAGGCTTTGGTGAACAGAGCCGAGCCTGGTTTCAACATCTAATTCAATTTGTTCTGCCGAGATTGAAATATGAAATGGTTGCCAGTCAAACGTTCAAAAGACGGCGAGCGCCTGCTGAAATTTAAATTTTAATGAAAATGACTTTAACCCTTTGGTGCACCTTGCAGAAGTGGGCCCCCCTCTCCCACCCGTGGAGACGCCCCTCGGGCTCTCCTCCCCCCACTTCTCTTGCTGAGCTCCACTAAACGTATCTTTTCTCCAGAGTATTAGCATTGAAAGGTAAAGGGGGTGCTGTGGCACCTTGTCCTCCCATACTGCCCCAGCCGTGAGAGACACCTTCCCAGAGGTGACTTTTGCAAACCCTGTGCAGACCGGCCCGGGCCCCCGTCGGATGCCCCGGGAGCACCTGAGCTCCCCCTTGGTACCTGTCGCAGCCGTGAACCCCAGGAGAGCAGACACGCACAGCGTCCCCCTGCCTGGCAGGAAGGAGGTGCTCAGCAGTGTTGATGAAGGATGCCCCCACCTTGTCCTCCCCGCTGTGGGAATATAGTTGTGGGGGCCCAGAGAGGCAGGTGACAGTCCCCAGGTGACTCTACAGCGGGCTGGCACCCAGCTGCGTGTGGCGGGAGGCCGAGTTCCCATCCTCCGGGTCCATCTCCGGGGCAGCACGGGGGCCTGGCCCTGCACCAGCGGTGACCAGACAGCATCGAAGGCCTTCAGTCCCTGGGTGAGTGTCGCCACTCAGTGTGGCGTCGCCCAGGCCCCCTAGGCTGCAGGGTGGAAAGTGAGGGCGGTGGGGCAGCCCTGGTCAGGGACTCGCAGGCCGTGGCCCAGGAGAGCACAAAGACGCCTCGGTGCATGCGCCACGCAGACGTGTGCTGGGTGCTGGGGAGACAGGCAGCGAGCCAGCATTATCTCCTTAGAAATCTAAGCAGCACTGTGGGGGGCTCAGTCCTGTGTGGGCAGAGCCTGGAGGTCCTAGCTCCGAGTTCACAGGTTTCCGGCCTGTTTTGAAGCCACTTCTAAATGGTTCCAGACTGTTTTTTTATAATGTTTTATTGATTTTTTTTAGAGGAACAGAGAGAAAAACATCAATCGCTGCCTCCTGCACGCCCCCTACTGGGGATCAAGCCCACGTGCCCTGACCGGGAATCGAACCAGGACCTCTCAGTCCATGGGACGATGCCCCATCCACTGAGCCACACAGGCCGGGCAGAAGGTTCCAAACTCTTGACCACAGGACCCCTTTTCCAAACAGAAGTCTCATGCAGAACCCAGCACAGACAGCACACGAAGCAGAGCTGCCCAGTTCACAGTCGGGCCCAGCCTAGCCCACAAGGCTGCTCCGCCTCGTACCCGAGAGCGAACCACCAGCCCAAACACGCCTGGGCCGCGCCGACAGCAGCTCCCGGCTGCGTGAGACCATTTCACGCAGCCCACGGTTGAACTTACTTTTAATTTTTAATTTACAAGTTTATCTTCGCCTGCATGTTACCAATACTGATACATAGCTAACTCCTCAAACCTGTGAGGAGGTAACGAAATAGTGAATCGGTATAAAGAAAATTATTCAGAACAGGTCACCCAGAGCAGAGGGCGAGCGCCCCCACCAGGTCACACCGTGGCAGGACTCTCCATCCTGAGCCACGGGGCCAGGCTCCCTGGGCTGAACCCCCTCTGCCCCTTCCTGGTCCTGTGGCGGAGCAGCTCCTGGACCTCGGAGCCTAGGTGCCCGCGCCTGTGAGCCGGCGCCAGCGGTGCGCCTCACCGGGGACACGCGGCTTGAACGAGGACGCTGAGCACTGCGCCCAGCGGAGGGGGTGTCCCCCACTCCCAGCAGGCTCTCACCGTCACCCGCCCCAGGAGGCCACGGGGCTCCGCACCAGGCCTGAGCTCGGGCTCATGGCTCATGGCTCAGCACAGACTTCAAGGGCCTCAATCCAATTACAGCATCGCCAGAAGCCAGGGCTGGGTCCCCTCCAGCTCCCTTCATAAACCCCACTTCCCCTTAATTGCAGCTTTCATGGAAACGACTCCCTGGGGCCGCAGCGCCCCGTCCTGGGCACAGGCCAACAGGCGGCACCGGTCTGGGGCCCGTTTCCGAGGGCAGCTGCTCCCGCCCTCCCTGGGAACCGCCAGGAGCCCTCCCTTCTGGCATCTCTCCTCCGGGTTCGGTTGCCCAGCTCTCACAGTGGAAGCGTGTCTCTGGACCCCAAAGTGCAAGCCAGCCTTCACCCGGTGCTCAGCCGGAGAGCAGCCGGCTCAGAAGCCAGGGCACCGCCGTTGGTCAGAGCGTTTCCGCGGCCG